TAATTGTTCGAAATGTCTCGCATCAATCCGCGCCCCTCTTCTTAGGTAATGTTACTACTACGTTCCGTTTATAATCCTCTGCGACTTTCCCCGTTTCGTAAATGTGACTAACCAACTTAAACATACGATCTCTAACCTCTTGTCCTGCATGTTTTAGAATTTCCCCCTGTATCCCATCTACACCTGGCGTCTTATTATTCTTTATGTTTTTAATGCTACATCGAACTCTTCTCTCATTATGGAATAACCAAGCTCATCTATTTCCACACTATCGTCCTTCTGTAATATATCTCCTAACTCAGGGCCTGCGTATAGGTTCTCTAAATATTCTTTCCACCTATCTGCCTTTTCTCCATTTTCTATCAAAATGACCCCTGCCTCATTTCTTATAGTATTACTACTGTATCCTACATCTCTAAAATTCCTTTTAATTATATTATAAGCCTCATCGGTTTTACCTTCTTCAAACTTTTCTTCTACTTCCTTACACCTCATATCAATCCACTGTTCCTTAGCTGCCCTACACTTCCTAATTATTTCCCACTTTATAGCTTTATATCTGTTTTGCCCTTCTTCGTCTGTCCTGTTTTTGTATTTCCGCCTTTCGTCTATTAATCCTACAATCTCATTTGTTATCCAGGATTTCCTACTTTCGTTTTGTTTAAGACCTAGTACCTCTGCAGCTGCTGACTTTAGGCACGTTTTAATGCAGTTCCATTCTGTCTCTATGTCCCGGTCATTCGTTTCTCCAGCCGCCTTTAGTATTTCGTCTGTCCTTTTACCTAGCCTATCATGCGCTTCGTTACATTTTAGCTTTTCTAAGTTGAGACGTCTCCTACCTTCCCTCTTTTTCAGAATTTTTAATTTATGGTTGGTCTTCATAACTACTAAGGGAATAGTATCGGAAATAGTTTTTAAATATCAAATAATCGAAGGGTTTCACCTTTAGCAAGAGGGTCGTTTTATAAATTCTTAGAAAATTTAAGAGATGGTGCTCGTAACATCCAAAATATGGCGGCTGTAGTGATTTTGGCGCAAAGTTCAAGAGTTTTAGTTCCAGTCCTGAAACAGTCGAACTAAGCGCCAATTTAAAACAGTGGTCAACCAGTTAATATTTTAAGCATGATATCTAGACCAGAGCCGGGCAAACTTTAACTTCTTAATAGCCGCTACCTGAGGTTAATTTGGGTCACTCCATACTCTTCAATGAGTACGAGAGAGTAAGCAGTATTGCTTTCTCTTTTTCTTCTCCCTTCCACTCCCATATCAAGTCCCTTCATCCCGTAGAAGAGTGAAGTCTCTCTCGCAACTTACATAATACCTACGAAAATTTTCTAATACGATTGGGTTCGGCTACGAAATGGATGGGATAACAAAAGGAAAGAATCATCTCACTCGCACTCGCAGGATCAATGAGGAGCTCCTTGGCTATAACTAAGGAGCACTCGGGAGTCAAAAGGGCCGAGTTTGCCCGACGGTCGCGCATGTAAAAGAAAAGTAAACGCGATTGTCGACCAGTTGTTAATAAATCTTTTGTATCTGATAAATAAATTAAAAAAAAATAAATTTAATAAATCATTGTCCTTAAAAAAACCTTCGAAAGCATCATGGCTTACGAGACAGCTTCAAAGTTTCAGTTATATCTACCATGGGGTTACATTTTTATTGAAAATTAAAGCGAGAAAATTTTGTTTACATAGATAAATGAAAGAAAATGAGTTTCAAGCGGTGATTAAACATTTACGTTTAAAAGGCTTAACACTGAAGGAGATCAAAGTTGAGTTGATTGAAATTCATGACACATCTGTTCCCGTGTTTGCAATTGTTAGTTGTTAGGTGAAAAAAGCAAATATATCTACTTCGAGAATCTTCCGAAATCTTAATGGATTAAAATAGTTGGAACAACGCTTAGAAAAGTGTATCGAGCCAAAAGGAGATGATATTGAAAAATAAAAAATCAAAAATGAGAAGACAGCCTCATTAGTCATATATGTACACTAGAAACAGCAAGTCTTGAGATGTTTAAAACAGCTGTTAGTTGCATAAAGCCAGTATCAGATATCTTGAATTGAAAGAATAGATACCGCCGTTAGTTTTTGTTGAATTTCTAAATCGCAAACATAGAAATGACTTCTTTTTATCGAAGGCGACTCTACCCTGCGCTATCCTCTGTTTTATATCCCTACTACTCCTTCCATCCTAATTTATCTGACTTTCTAGAAACCTAAAATCAGCCACTTCTGCTAATATTTCGTATCCTATCTTTACATTCGCTCTTTCCCTATTTTTTCTTCCCATTCATTCCAGTATTATTGTTTTACTTTTATATATTTTCAAACAACACTGTTTTGTCAATACCGCTTCCATTTTATTTAAAGCTATCTTTAAGTCTTCCTTGCTAGATGTGAATATTGCTATCTGCAAATCCAAGCATACTAATCTTTTGCCTCTCTATATCTATCCTAACTGTTATAATGTCTTTAATGATGTTGATTGCGTCTTCGATTTATAGATTAAAAAGTAGCGGTGACAGTGTGCATCCCTGCCTGACTCCCTTCCTAATATTTACTTCTCTACGTTGCTGCTCCAGCTCTATAACTACCTGTTGCTCTTTATACAAACTAAGTATCACTCTTCTATATCTGTAACTCATCCCTAAATTTTTAAGTATATTTAACATTGTTAAAAGCTTTTTCTAAATCATCATATCCTATGTACGCGCTCTTTCCTTTTTCTATCGTTTTCTCCATATTAATGTGAAAATTCATTTTTAGTTTCTTCATCTACTATAAATTACCTCAAGTTAATGAGATAATAAGGTAATTTATAGTGGACGAGAAAAGTAAAAATGAAATTTCACATTAGTATTGAGTACTATTAAATGTCAAAGTTTTTCATACTGTATTATTCTCTATATTAGTTTCAACTTAAACATCCACGCCTTCTTCAGAACAGGGTCTTAACAGACATACAGACGGTCCACGAAGGGTTCCTTCTTTCTTTTTGAGGTACGGAACCCTAAAAATGGAAATTTCTGTCTGTAATAACGAAGTACTTGCTTTTTGTTATTCGTATGCTATTAGGCTATAGCCTATAAACAATCCTTAAAAAATGTTTTGCTTGATTGTCTGTTTAATTCATTAGGTCCTCAAGTAGTTACTTGTCCTGCATTTTCGACACACCGTGTGTACCATACACAATGTGCTTTTGTTCCATAAAACTACTTTCCATACCTACATTCCTTCAACATTTTCACATTAATAGAAACGAAGAGACACGCGTTAATTTGAATTCAGCATTCCGTCTTCAAATAACGCAATCCGTCACCTCGTAGAAAGTATTACTTATGTACAGACAGTATTTATAATCGCGGGCGCGGTATAAATTGAGGTTATTTCGAATTGCGAACATTGTTTGCACTTCCGTTTAAAATTTATTTACGTATATACTTAAGTACGACGTCGTACACGACAACGTCTCTCTGAAAGGTTACGAAATGAGCAACGGAGGTTTTAATTCATGCATAAACGCTGTACGTTAGATTGTTACAAATAATAATAACAATAATAATAGGCAAGCAGCCCGCGGATTTTGAATACAAGAATGGGAAACTTTCGCCATTGTCCTCACTTAAAGAAACACAATTTTATTGACACACCCGCAAGTCAGAAGGACCCGCGATTTAAATAACATGCAACCTTGCTGTTACTACTATATTTGAAATCATTCATCCAATCATATTTTCCGAATTGAGACAGACTTCGTCAACATATGGTCGTCAGTCCTAAGATTGGTTGGAGATGCACTTACTCTCTTTCCCAACCTAAACCAATTTCCTTAAACCTAGAACATCCCACATTGTTCGGATGGGGTTAGCCTTGTAAGGGCTCGTATCAAGCAATATCCTGCTGCTAACCATTAGAATAAAGCGGCGGCAACATCAAAAATAATTAGCCATACTATTTGTTATTGAGATTAAGAACGCATAGACGTTTTTGATTTGCTTTTGAATTTTGTATTGCACTTACATCTACTGTACACTTTAATTTACAATGTGGACTATGTACACCGAACTCGTTTGTTTGGAACTATATTAACTTGTCTTGGAAAACTTGTAAACTGTCTTGGAATTAAATGAGTTGTCTCTGAATTGTGTGGGCTGTCTCACCTAGAAACGAAAAACTACAACTTAATAACTTGGATATGTAAATAAAGGGGATGGAGTGTACGAATTCCTTCCTAAATATTATGGATGACCAGCTTCATTGGTCATTACAAATGGGGGTGGCTCTGGCAAACACAATAGTCTAAGATTTCACCATCTGACCCATTTCCAAGTGAAGGTTTGAACATTTATGGAACAATAAAATTAAACACTTCAAGTCCTCCATGGACCTGCAAGTCACAATACATGACTTTATGAAAGTCTTCTTGTTGTCAACCCCAACTAATTTGTGTACACATTTAATCCTGAGATTTATTGCAGTGTCATTTATAACACTATTTTTACGCATAGACACAAAAGAAACCCTTCTCGAAATCAAAACAAAAGATTTTGATTCTGATAGAAACTATTATTTGCAAAAGGCAGACATTAAAAGAAACTAAATTTTAGGTGAAACGAATTGATGAATAGAACTCGAACACACATCCTTAACTATAGTTGTGAACAGTAATCAACTCTAGGTCTATCTGTACCCCCCTTAGCTGCATCTAATATGTATCTAACTAGTCCTTCATGCCTGAGAAGATGTCCTACCAACCCATCTTGCCTATTTCTTATTGACTTTCATGGCGACCTCTATTTTACTACCCTTTCTAGTACCTCCTCATTTCTAGCCTTCTCTATCCTCACCATTCGTCTACGTTTCCAAAGCTTCCAATCTTTTATTTTCTACCGCGTCAACCGTCCACGTTTCGCTCCCGTATTTAAAAAGTCGAAATTTAAACAGTTGCTCCATAAATAATTAGGCTCTTATGTTTACTTATTCTTGTTTCAGTTGGGCTTGACGGGAAGTTTCGTCATTTCGAAAGTCAGCCTCAAAGTTTAGAAATAAACCATCCTGTTCCCGAGAGAGTTAGAGCAGTGCAACATTCGGAACATAAATTTCCCATAACTAATGGTTCGTTGTACACCAGCATAGATGGCAGGCTACCTATTATTCACAATTACCGAAGGCACAAAAATCAAACAGGTACGTAAGCATACTTATGAATATACGTATTGGTATATGGATACGACAAACAGATCAGGCTTTGTTTGGATTACACATATGACTTTTAATTTTCCTTTGTCAATTCTTTATTGTAGGCATATTGTTTTTTGTATGAATTAAGACGCGATTATTGATAGTTTTTCTAAACATACGTTAGCTTCATTTTAAAATTATTGGTTTCCTGGATGCCCATTTTTGAAAGATTCTTCATCCATAAGAATAAAAATTGTGTTTGGTTATGTGTGTATGAGTTTTTTAGAAATATAGGGTCAATTGAAAAGTCCCCGGCCTGACACATAGATGGCGGCACCAGAACTAAATCCATATGATTTTCAGTTAGTCCTAACTTTCAAAAGACGCGTCTATAAATTTGACGGCTGTCGGATCATTAGCTTGTGAATTATAGCATTTTTAGTGAAGCAACTTTTGTTATTGTGAAAAAAATGGATAAAAAGGAATTTCGCGTGTTGATAAAATATTGCTTTTTGAAGGGAAAAAATACAGTTGAAGCAAAAACTTGGCTTGATAACGAATTTCCGGACACTGCCCAATAAAATCAACCATCAAGGATTGGTATGCTAAGTTTAGACGTGGTGAAATGAGCACCGAAGACGGTGAACGCAGTGGACGCCCAAAAGAGGCTGTTACTGTTGCGCGTGGAATAATTTTCATTGACTACCTTGAAAAAGGAAGGACCATCAACAGCGACTATTACATAGCGTTATTGGACCGTTTGAAGGATGAAATCGCCGAGAAACGACCGCATTTGCAGAAAAAGAAAGTCCTGCTTCACCAAGACAATGCACCGTCTCACAAGTCAGTGAAAACGATGGCAAAAATTCATGAATTGGGCTTCGAATTGCTTCCGCATCCACCGTATTCTCTAGATCTGGCCCCCAGCGACTACTTCCTGTTTTCAGATCTCAAAAGAATGCTCGTTGGGAAAAAATTTTCGTCGAATGAAGAGGTGATCGCCGAAACTGAGGCCTATTTTGAAGCAAAGGACAAATCGTACTACAAAAATGGTATCGAAAAGTTGGAGGATCGCTATAATCAGTGTATCACCCTTGAAGGGAATTATGTTGAATAAAAAAAACGAATTTTGCAAAAAAAATGTGTTTTACTATTTTAGGCCGGGGACTTTTCAATTGACCTGTTATATATTTGTTGGATTAGTCCAGAAGAATTTTGAATAGGTACCATAACGAGAAGACGACACGGTAGCACAAAATTTCTAAAATAAATGTTAATGTCTGAATGGTGTTGAGATGAGGGAAGCATTATGATTAAATCTAGAGGATTTTTTACTATTTAGCCATTTTGCCTATCTCTAAAATTCGTTTAATGTGTTTTCCTTCACAGGAATGAAGATATCAACAATACAATCGGCAAACATGGACATCCACTCATCTCACTTACTTAGACAGGAACAGATTTCTAATCCAGACAATTCTTCTTCTCAAACATTCCACCACAGCATTTCCCCACCCAATTTGACCCATAACTACTGCTACAGAGGAAATCTAATTAACTCTAATGTAACAAACCATTCAAACGATGATACCTCTTCTAATCACGACATTAGGTACAGACCAAACTTGAACAATAAATCCATGCTTCAACGTATTCATCGCGACAGTTTCATACTTCACTCCAGACCACTTCACAAACGGATCAGTATAAGTCACGATAGTGTCAGAAATGCACCTTTGATGGAAAACAATTGGCCAAGCAGTTCGAGTTTTGCTGTCCAGAACTTGAACCGAATTAAAGCCAGTGGAAACAAAAACAGTAGAAGACACGGGTTCGGTTTAGATCACAGGAAGAGTAAAAGTGAGGATGCTTTAAACGACCTACAAACAGACTTACAGAGGTTCAAGCAAAATCCTGGCTTCTATGAAGTTAGCAATGGACACAAATTCTCCAAAAATGGCAATGTTACCAGTGATTGTAGCTCCGATGATGATAGCTTTACGGATCAAGGAAATTCAGGGCAAGAGAACGATGGAGAATCTCAAAGTGGGTATTCCATAACAACTGATGGTAACTGCGATTTCGATTTCTACCAGAACGACAGGTACTACCAGAAACCCAACCGAAACCAAGATAATATACCGGAGTACTCGTACACGTCATACAGTGACGAGTTCATCAGGCCCACAATGTCCACCTTTAAACCTGCACGGTTACAAGCCCAAAAAAATGAAGGCCAAATACAAGGATACGATCCTAACAAAAATAAAAATGACAAAAATGAAAATGACTCCAACAACAATAACAACAACAACCAAAACCAAATTCAAAGAATCAGTGGAAGATTGTCGAGAACGAGCTCAAAATCTTCACTTAAGAATGGATCATTCTTGGATGTGCGGATAGAAAATAATAATAATTATAATATTGGCCGGATATCGAGATCCAGTTCGAAGAAGTCTCTGGAAAGTTTCCACGCTTACGTTGAAGAGAATATCGCTCCTCGTATACAAAGATCGAATTCTTACGTAACGAACGAATACAAATGTAAATTTAATCTGAACAGTTTCAGTAGATTGTCGCGATCCAATTCCAATTTGTCAGATTGCAGTTGTGTGAAAGAAGTGAAAAAAAGTTCGGCCCTGTATTCACCCAGAACTGCCTATTTCGACGATTTGTTCGCAAATCATGGGTTGCAAGCGTACACCAACACATTTAAATGTCAAAACCAGGTCCCCAACTGTAGTGTTAGTGTTCCGGATTTTAAGAAAATTTTTATATCCGAATATTTGTAAATATTATTGTACATTCAAAAAATATATCTCATGTTTTTTTTTATTTATAAATCACGGACTTTTATGCTGTTTCCGATTGTCAGGAATATGGTAAGTACATAAATAAATGTTATTATTTACCGTATAATCAACCAAAAGTAAGCGGTAATGGCGCGGCGTACATGGGCTTCTATTGAGCACCCCCCAAAATAAAACAACAAAATGGTAATGTTACATGGATCTTTATACTGCTAAAATATTCAATTACATTAACAATAACCTGCCAAAGTTTTCTTTCCAAATGAATTCAGTCGCGCTTGATTTTTGCGGATCTTGTATAAGATTTTATTAACCTTAATGTGAAGCTTGAAGCAACTGAAACGCAAATATCTACAAAATCCTTGGAAACTATACTCAGAACAGATTACGAATTACTCAATAGTAAAATGAATTTTAGATGCTCTCAAGTAGCTCTCTGTATCGGCTCTAGGGAAGAAGTGCTGACGGTTGCCAAATAATGCCGTAGTCATCAATTCCCAATTATAATTAATCACAGATCAAATTGGCAAAAGCTTCTGCGGTCAGTAGGTGAACTGATGCAGTCTTCATGCAAGTCTAAAGGTCGTTGTCTGTTGGAGTCTGTTGCACGAGTTGCCAGCTTCTTCTGAGGTTCTTCAATCTGGATGTGGACACCAGCCGACTCCAACCTTTAGACACAGATCAGTCTCAGATTTGAATCAAACAATTTTAGGCTTCACAATATCAAAGTTACGAGGATGTCATCCAATAATGCTCTCTAAGGATGGTCTAGTTCTTCGTACAATTTATCAAAATATTCTAGTATTGCTCTCATCAGCTCTCGTCTCCCGACCTCTTCTCCTGGCATACGTTTTCGCCATCCTGTTATTCCTCCTTTCGCATGAAAACCCCAAAACATCATACTTTTAAGTTAGGTTGTTGGGTGGAATTCTTTCTGATGCTTGGATAAGCTGGTATCAAAGAAAAATTTTGATCATCCCTTGGTGCTTATCATCGGTGACAAATGTTTGGAGTCGCTAGTACGAGTGGCGAGCTTCTTCAGAGGTCCTTCCATATTCGATACCGGATGTGGACACCAGCCGACTCCAATCTTTAAACCCGAGTCAGAATAGCACCAGTTCATCATAGATTATTGTCAAATTTGAATCAAACAATTTTAGGCTTCACAATATCAAAATTATGAGGATGTCATCCAATAACGGTCTGTAAATATGGTCTACTTCTTCGTACTGTCTATCAAAACATTCTAGTATTGCTCTCATCGGCTCTCGTCTCCGCCCTCTTCTCCTGGCATACATTGTCGCCATTCTGTTATTCTTATTTTTACCTGAAATACCAAAAACATCATTCTTTTAAGTCAGATTCTTGGAAAGAACTGTTTTTGATGTTTGGATAAGCTAGTATCGAAGAAAATTTTTGATCATCCCTTGGAGCTTATCATCCGTGACAGAAGTTTGGAGTGGCCAGTACGAGTGGCAAGCTACTTCAGAGGTCCTTCCATCTTCGATACTGGTCAGGTTGTTGGAAAGAACTGTTTTTGATGTTTGGATAAGCTGGTATTTAAAAAAAATTTTGATCATCCCTTGGTACTTATAAGCCTTGGATGACCACCCTCACCACCGTTTACGCCGCCACTATTAATGAGTCCGTATCATAAAGATCGTAGCTATTTGAAAAGGTTTATATCTTTTATTTTATAAACATGAATATTAGAAGAAAACCAAATAGAGTTTTGTGGGACCGAATTCAAAAAAGCACTTTTGTTCAAAATTCCATATGAAATTCTAGAAGCCTGAAACAATATTTTGACATTTAAGTTTTCAAATTTAATGGCGGTTTCTACGCTGGCCATCACATTTTCAGTATGGAGTTTCATGGATGTCATTACATACTTTGGGTATTGAAACCCATTTTAGATTTCTAAATAATTTAGGTGAAATTGTGGGTTACAATCTTTTATGTAATGTGAAAAAATCACAACTGAATTCTTTATAACAAATGCTTAATTTTCGTTTATTAATTTTCTTATTATTTGTGTTTGGCATGTTATAAAGCCAACATATTCAAACTGCCCAGTTTTCGTTTGGCCTATAGATACCCTTACACATTATAAGTGCTGCAATACAGCTATTTGCTAACAGATGGCAATATACTGTCATTAGTGTTGTATTTTCTCCTTTTCACACATTCCATATCCTTTTTTTGTGTATAATTGTATCTAAAGAAAGGCTTTAACACTATAAAGTCATGATAAATGTCTAAATAATGCAAAAATATAAAATTAAACAGAGAAGGTAAAGAGTTAAACTGTATATCGTCTACAACTAGTAGCCGAGATGGCGACTCAGTGCCTTCTCTGTTTCATGTTATTATCTTGGATATTTGTTGAAATAATTTAAAAGACGTTCTGAAAGTCAAGGGAAATTGCGGATCATACGTGGTTATTTCGACAAATTTTTAGACAGCAACAATTTCATTACGTATTTTGTACGTTTTTCATCAGCCATCTTCAAAAATGATATTTTGTAATTAAATAGCTTAGGCTTAGGGAATTTATCTAAATCGTAGGAGCCCTAAAAATAGCCCAAGTACTCCAAGCCAAAACATGGAAAAAACAACTTGTGATCCTGATTTTCACTTTGTAGCATTGTACTAAAAGTTGTATAAAAACACAAAAAGTAAAACACAAATGACCAATAGCTCAAAAGTTATAACATCTTTAAAAAGATTTCTGTATCGTCAGGCGAAACAGCGTCACTAAAAAATAAAGAAATTCGTAGTATGGAAAATATAAAAAATAATCGATTTATAACAACAAATTTGGTTAAACTCTATACAAATTTCAATGAAAATAGTATTTAAGGTTTTAAAAAAGTCTATATTCGAAGATGGGCACCGTATGTATGCACTTATGTTTGGGGAAAAAAAAGGATTTTCAAACATAGCAGGAACATGTGCTTTTAAATGATTTTTAACTAATTATATTAAAAATTTAGGGGAATTAAAGATGATGGATTTTAGACATATTTTGTTATCAGGTCTACAACTTTATACATATACTTAGTGCAAATTATGTACCAATTTAAAATCCTTTCCCTTTTGCATTTTGGAAACTTTGGTTTATGTGACATATTTTTGTGGTGTTTTCAAATGTGTTACTATAATTTTCATAAACCTGTAAGAATACAGGGGATGCTCGAAACACGCTGTTTTTAATGGAACGTCCTAAATCTTTTCAAATTTTTGAAATTGATACTTCCTTCTGATTTGTAAAATGTATAATTGTCATACATTAAGAATAATTTTAATGGAGAATACCTAATTTCTCCTCAGAAGATAATCTATTTCAGTATTAAAAATCCCCATCCCCCTCCCACCAATTGACTGCGTAAAAAACGTAGCTGTTTACTTGAATTATTTCAGCTGTCAAACAATTTCGTTGAAATATCTCCAATTGAAACACATGAGAAAGTCATTACTTCATGACATGATTCAACATCGACTTTATTTTTTATGATTTCCTTCATTATTATGATAGGTATTGTACACTTTATAAATCAAAAATTATAAGGAATCTCAAATATATAGCGTTCCTTTTAAAAAAATGTACCTACTCAATCTATACCATGTATGTATATGTATGTATGTATGTATGTATGTATGTATGTATGTATGTATGTAATTAGAAAATTTGCCCTATACAATATTACTCATTTTCTGCAATTAAAAGTACATTTTATTAAGCAATAGACCAAAAGTTGAGAATAACATCAGAAATATTGTTAAACTTTCTTTCAGAAAAAACAATTGAAAATTATGAGCATTCTCGATGACTAAAGTTCAGGATTGTAATTTTTTATTGTTTAAAATTTGTTATTAATTATAGATACTACGTTTACTCTCATTAATGACTGTATTGATTAAATAAATAGAGTTTTGGTTTTCTTTCAACCGACTTCAACGAAAAAGGAGGTTCTTTATATTCGACTCATTTTTTTTCTTGTGTTTATGCTTTAATTAATGGGACTATTACTCAAGGCTAGTCCCATTACCATTTAAATTTGAAAAAAAAATATTCCTCCCAAAAAAAATTAGTTGGAGAAATTAGCGCAACCTCTCATTTTTCAGTCAGATATTTTTAACTTTTTAGTTTAAGTGTTTGCATATAAACAAATTATTAAAATCGGTTTTTATACGTCAATACAGTACTTAATTATATAAATTTTTCTATCAGGATTTTATTTTTCGCTTCAAGTGTTTAATTAATTATAACACAATGTAATTCATTTAGAAAACATTTTTATTTATATTAATCTTTAAAAATAGGTACTCATACGTAATATGTGGTAATAAACGCCTTTGTGGGAAAATTGCTACCAGAATATTAGAAAAATCTCGTTATTTTGTTTCCAGGCCTTATACAATATTTTATTTATTCAAGCTTCAACTTGTTAGCATCTGCTGATAAAAAAAAGCTAGGCCACGCCACGCCGTCACGCCTCAACAACAGTGATTCAGCTTTCTGACATTCCGTTATCGGTCGTCGTCAGATATGAGCGGCATATCTACGTGTTGTCTAAAAGATTTGTTCGTATTTACGTACAAAAAGTGTTACAGAATATAGAAAGTGCCATTATAGGATTACAATGAATATACTTTAGAAAAATGTAAGTAATGTTTGTAAAATATGTTTTAATCCGTGTACAGTGTACATATATAGGGCATTATTTAGATTTAGGGAAATTAATTTAACATTAGATAACTGTGTTTTATATATGCATTTACATTTATTCTATACTGATATACTTTCGGATATTTCTGTTGTCCATTTGAATTTCACATTTTTATGCACCATTTCTCCGGTTGTTCCACATTTCATCCAAATTTTCCTTTCTTTTTTTCATTTTTCATTTGTGATTCTTATTTCTACCTTTTAATTATTCGATATATTATCATTAACTTTTATTCCTGCATTCTTTTAATATCATATCGTCTTCTGATGGAAATTAACTTGGTAGTCCTAATGGATTGCACTTATCAATTTCTTGACTCATAATGAAAAAACTTTACTGCTGCTTTATTTCACACATCGTATAAGGGAGACCGGGGATGGTTGACTAGTTTTTTGCTGAATAGTTCATATTTTTTGTGTTTTAATGTATATAGACAAGAAAAGCATGTTAATTGATAGAAAATCTATTAACCTAATAAAAATATGTAATATTTAGTTCTTAGTTTAGTATAATAGTGATAATTTAATGCATTTTACAAAATATTAAATCTTAGTCAATCTACCCCTGGCCCGGGGTAGGTAGACCATATGCCAGGGGTAAGTTGACTCATGTACCAGTAAGAGTCAAATCATGAGAAGGAGCAAATAATTAAACATTTTTTTAATATAATTGAACCTTTTGTTAAAAAATAAACTGGCTAAAGTTTCCTCTTCTAGATTAGTAAAAATTTGTCAATTTTTTATATATTCCACTGTGTCCAGGGTTAATTCTGCTCTCGTCAATTTCGGATTCTGTTCTAATTTTTCTTTTAATTTGGCCACGTAACGATTTAAAAGTCCAATAAAAAGTTAATTTATGTGTTGTTTTCAACTACATATTTCATTGGGGTTGGTTGAATAATTATTCAACCAGCCCCGAAAAAAATTGGTCTACCAACCCCAGACGCCATTTTTAATTTTGATCGCATGGCTAGCCTAAACACTGCCGTTGACTTGAAAAATAAGATATGAAATATGATAAATGTGCCCTCATTAAATGCTAGGACTAATAGAAAAATGATTTACATAAAACGAGTAGGCATCAGATCAAAAAATACAATATATCAAAATATTACTTATGTAATTGAAATATGAAAAACATGTCAGTGTTCGAAAACAACGCACGACCGCGATGTGACGCTTCAGACAACTGAGCGGGACGCGAAATGTAATGCTTGGTTATGATCAGATGACATAGTTCATACACTGTCGACGATTTTTCGGTAGTTAGTCTACCTACCCCTATAGTCAACCATCCCCGGTCTCCCCTACCATGAAATGTTTGTGAAAAATGCATAATTTAATTTAACTTAATATTAGATAACTGTGTTTTATATATGCTATTACATTTACTCTATACTGATATACTTATTGATATTTTCTCCTATAAGATTTCCCACATCCTTTTTTAGATCATCCCTTTTGTCCATTTGAATTTCTCATTTTTTTGTACCATTCCTCCTGTTATTCCACATCTCTCAAACATATATTCAAGCCTCCTTGGTTCCAATTTACACAGCCTGCATATGCTTTTCTTCTTCTTACCAGTAGGTTACATTCATATTCTCATATTTTCAGTCTGACCCTTCGATACACTTTTATCTTTTTTAAGTTTCCATTTGTAGTGCTTGATTGACCATCGTCTTTCAATTAAAAAAAATTTTCTTTACGTTTTCCATCTTTTATTTGTGATTCTCATTTCTACGTTTTAAATATTCGATATATTATTTATCCTTAACTTTTATTCCTCCATTCTTTTAATATCATATCGTCTTCTGATGGAAATTAACTTGGTTGATTGATCATCCTCTTTCAATAAAAAAATTTTTCTTTCCTTTTTCCATCTTCCATTTGTGATTCTCATTTCTACGTTTTGAATATTCGATATATGTATTCCTACATTTTTTTAATATTACGTATATAGTCTTCTGATGGAAATTAACATGGCCGTTCTAATGGATTGCACTTATCAATTTGTTAATTCATAATTAAAGAACTTTACCGTTGCTTTATTTAATACATCGGATACCGTGAAAAGTTTGTCAAAAATGCATATTTTAAATTAACTTAACATTAGATAACTGTATCTACATGTGCATTTACATTTAATCTATGCTGATATACTTTCTAAAATTTTCCCCATAAGATTTCCCTTATCCTTGTTTGATCATCCTATCTATCCATTTGAACTTCCCATTTCTTTTGTACCAGTGCGCCTGTTATTCTACATCTCTCAAAAATTACCTTAAGCTCCCTTGTTTTAATTTACACATCCTTTTCCACTGAAAAAAATTTCTTTGCTTTTTCTATCTTTTATTTGTGATTCTCATTTGTACGTTTTAAATAAGCGATATATTATCCTTAACTTTTATTCCTACATTATTTTAATATTAACCATATCGTCTTCTGATGGAAATTAACTTGTTCGTTCTAATGGATTGCACTTATCAATTTGTTGATTAAAATAATTACAAGATTTACCGCTACTTTATTTTAGACGTCGTATAGGTCCTGCGAAATATTTGTGAAAAATGCATAATTTTAAAAAAAATCTGGTATTAACGTAATCATCTAGATACCTGATCTGCTTTTACAGAAAGTGTAGAATGCATGTGTATTATTTCAACATAATTCTTCTTATAAAATACCACAAATGGCGCGGTAAACGCCATCTGTAGTACGATGCTACATTTTAGGATTACGTATGCTCCAACAAGGTCCATTTAAATATATGGATATCTACTTGTTGAAACAAATTCCGGCGTAGCTAACCCCAACGTGACAGGCACGTTACCATAATCGAATAAAATAAATAAAACGCGCTGTTAAGACAGCAGGTAAAAATTGGTCTGTGTTCTGTAGGAGCTGCCTGCGACGCGCTGATGAGATCCAAAAAGATCGAAATCGCGATCCGCGTCTGGCAGTTTCGACAGAATGCAGACCACTTCGAATTATATTATTCGATTAAGCTAACGTGCCTATCACGTTGAGGTTGGCTACGCCGGGATTCGTTTTCAGCAAGTANGTTTTTTTATTTGCCTTTGTGATCCGTTTTAATTGGAAAAAAGACATTAATGCCAAAATAGTTTGTTTAGCGTGAAAGATTAGAACCAAAATAGGGTTGCAAATAATTTTATTGATGTAAAATCAACATCAATTATTTTGTATCAAAATTTTTTCAATCCCGTTTTGTTTCTGATCTTTTACACATTGTAATAAAAAAAAGCTTATAAATCCACAGGAAGTAACGATTTTTCATTTAATCTTAGGTATTTGGTTTTGATCTTGCATATTGTGCATTACTTTTAGTCTTGATCTTGTTTGTTCAGTTTTGGTCTTGATCCTGCTAGTATAAAGACAGTTTTGGTCTTATATTTTCGTAAGACCAACACCACTTTTGCTCGTCACTAAGCTGGAGGTAATCTTCAAGAGAAGTTTTCTAGGATTGAGTAAGGTGGTAGCACGTAATGAAGCCTAGACCGGCTTCCCATTCCTTAACATTTTTTCCTAGGTTTTAATGAACAACTTGCGGCAAATACCAATGTTCATCCCCTTATCACCGAAATTTATATTTGAGCTTTTATCATGTTTTTGTATTTACTTATTGATATATGTCTAGGTACCGCCATAATGCGTAAACTTATCGTAGCGGATCTCAATCAGAGATGCTGCTAGATTTGTTGTGAATAGTTTTGGATTCATTGAAAAAAATTAATAGCACATTCCCCTAATTAATCATTTATTAAAAGTTTATACAATTATTAAAGTTTATAATAGTAGATTTCTCAAAGAAACAACGGAGCGAGATGGAGTTTTATAAGATTTGTTAACTTACATGAAGCAGTTGCTCTTGGACTTCAAGTATAGACGTTGAACTTCTGAGGAGGTATTATCAATGTACATATTGTCTTTTACATTAATTTATAGGAGTAATTATACAAAAAATACCTAAGCATATGTTTACAAAATTATAACGGATTAGACGTTTAAAATATTCCTACATAAGTATCTAGAAAAACAAAACCTTAAATAAATGATTACGTTTTCAAAAAATATAGGGTTGTTCGGAAAGTCATTTCGTTTTTTCCCGACAGAGGATTTAATTGTATTCTTTTGCACCCAACTTCACATTTAAGCCGTATAATTTTTATATGCTTTGAGAGCTCATATAGCAAGGCTTGTGTGTGAAAAATTCCAATTAATTCTACGCAGTAGTTTTTGGTTGGTGCCCTTTTAAATATGGAGAGCGATAAGCAGCATTTTCGACATATCTTACTGTTTTACTACAGAAAGGGTAAAAATGCTGTTCAAGCCAGAAAGAAATTGACTGATGTGTATGGAGAAGGTGTGTTGACAGTACGCCAGTGCCAGAACTGGTTCGCTAAATTTCGATCCGGCAATTTTGATGTCGAAGATGCACCACGTTCGGGAAGGCCGGTTGAAGCTGATAAAGACGCGATAAAGGCATTAGTTGATGTGAACCGGCGAATAACAACACGTGAGATCGGATTGAGGTTAAATTTATCAAATTCAACAGTTTATGACCACTTGAAAGGCCTGGGATTATCCTCGAAGCTCGATGTATGGGTTCCCCATGTTCTCACAGAGAGAAATCTGTGTCGCCGCATTGACGTCTGCGATTCGCTTCTCAAACGTCACGAAAATGATCCGTTTTTGAAGCGCATCATCACTGGGGACGAAAAATGGGTTGTATACAACAACGTCAAACGCAAGAGGTCATGGAGCAAAAAAGATGAACCGGCTCAAACCATTTCCAAAGCCGATATTCACCAAAAAAAGGTGATGCTGTCTGTTTGGTGGGATTTTAAAGGAATCGTTTTTTTTGAGCTTTTACCGGATAACACAACGATTAATTCGGAAGTCTACTGTCATCAGCTGGACAAACTGAATGATGCACTTCAACAGAAAAGGTCAGAACTAATCAACAGGAAAGGTGTAGTGTTTCACCAAGACAACGCGAGACCTCACACAAGTTTGGTCACTCGCCAAAAGCTTTTACAGCTTGAATGGGATACAATGCTACACCCACCATATTCTCCAGACCTGGCACCATCGGATTATTATTTGTTCCGGTCACTCCAAAATTTTTTAGACGGTAAAACCTTCACCTCAAATGAGGAGGTCAAAAACCTCCTCGATCAGTTTTTTGCCAGCAAAGACCAAAAATTTTATGAGCGTGGAATTATGCTACTACCAGAAAGATGGCAAAAGGTGTTGGACCAGAACGGTCAATATATAATTTAATAAAGTATTTGTTTATTATACGAAAACTGTCTTTCATTTCCACAAAAAAAAAACGAAATGACTCCGAACAATCCTATATATAAAGAAGTAGGTACAACATGAGTCAAATATACTAAGTATTTTTATTTATTTGTTCAAGAAAATTTTGAATTCAGTTTTGCCAATACAGACTAATTTTATTTTTTAATTACATATTGACAAGAGTAGGTAAAAGAGCATACATTGAATATACACAGGGATCCAAAATATTATAATGTGATAAGTCAACATTAACTAAATAACGATCATAAGTTCGAATGGGAAAATGTAAAAATAATAGAAAAAGAAAGTAACTAAAGTATGTATACATTTACTTAAGTATAAAACATTTTTTAAGAAAACCTGACAGGTATTTGCTCATTTTTTAAATATTGCAGTTTTTCTAGATTAATTAAGTGGTATTTGCACTATATCACCAGCTGCGAAGATTATGTATGGTTCATATTTTCTTGTTTGAAGTAATTGAGGTATAGTTTTTCTATCTTTATGTTATAGTTTCTTCTGTTCATCAACAAATAATTCTTCCATAGGTTTTTTTATTTGCCTTTGTGATCCGTTTTAATTGGAAAAAAGACATTAATGCCAAAATAGTTTGTTTAGCGTGAAAGATTAGAACCAAAATAGGGTTGCAAATAATTTTATTGATGTAAAATCAACATCAATTATTTTGTATCAAAATTTTTTCAATCCCGTTTTGTTTCTGATCTTTTACACATTGTAATAAAAAAAAGCTTATAAATCCACAGGAAGTAACGATTTTTCATTTAATCTTAGGTATTTGGTTTTGATCTTGCATATTGTGCATTACTTTTAGTCTTGATCTTGTTTGTTCAGTTTTGGTCTTGATCCTGCTAGTATAAAGACAGTTTTGGTCTTATATTTTCGTAAGACCAACACCACTTTTGCTCGTCACTAAGCTGGAGGTAATCTTCAAGAGAAGTTTTCATAAGTTTGAAACATTCATTTTATTAATAAGATTTAAAAAAAAGTGAACTACAGCAGCATTAAGAGACGTATGTTTTTAAGAAAGTGAGGAAAATTAGTATTTCTCGCGTGGAGTTGCGATAAGTTAAAAACTTTTATTTGGAATTATTGAGACATCTGTTTGCTTCTCTAGTTCAAACCGATTTTAAATTAGGTTAAGAATAAGTGAATTGCTGCAGCATAAAAAGACGTAGATTCATAAGAAGTTGAGGAACATACGTAATTTTCGCATGTAGTTTTGATAAGTTAAAAACTATTATTTGTAATTTCTGATACATTAGTTTTTAGCACCAGAAACTGCTCTTTCCGATAATTTTATCGTATTTTAATTTGAATTTAAAATAGGTGAACTGCAGCCGCGCATAGAGACGTTCGATTTTAAGAAACTGGAAAAAAGAGGTAATTTTGCGTGCAGTTTTGACAAGTTAAAAGCCATTATTTGAAATCTTTGAGATATTGGTTTGTTGCACAAAGAACTGCTCTTTTCGATAGTTTTATCGGATTTTAATTTGGATTTAAAATAGGTGAACTGCAGCCGCGTAAAGAGACGTTCGATCTTAAGAAACTGGAAAAAAGAGGTACTTTTGCATGCAGTTTTCACAAGTTAAAAGCCATTATTTGAAATTTTTGAGATATTGGTTTGTTGCACAAAGAACTGCTCTTTTCGATAGTTTTATCGGATTTTAATTTGGATTTAAAATAGGTAAACTGCAGCCGCGTAAAGAGACGTTCGATCTTAAGAAACTGGAAAAAAGAGGTACTTTTGCATGCAGTTTTCACAAGTTAAAAGCCATTATTTGAAATTTTTGAGATATTGGTTTGTTGCACAAAGAACTGCTCTTTTCGATAGTTTTATCGGATTTTAATTTGGATTTAAAATAGGTAAACTGCAGCCGCGTAAAGAGACGTGCGATCTTAAGAAACTGGAAAAAAGAGGTAATTTTGCGTGCAGTTTTGACAAGTTAAAAGCCATTATTTGAAATTTTTGAGATATTGGTTTGTTGCACAAAGAACTGCTCTTTTCGATAGTTTTATCGGATTTTAATTTGGATTTAAAATAGGTGAACTGCAGCCGCGTTAAGAGACGTTCGTTCTTAAGAAACTGGAAAGAAGAGGTAATTTTGCGTGCAGTTTTGACAAGTTAAAAGCCATTATTTGAAATTTTTGAGATATTGGTTTGTTGCACAAAGAACTGCTCTTTTCGATAGTTTTATCGGATTTTAATTTGGATTTAAAATAGGTGAACTGCAGCCGCGTTAAGAGACGTTCGTTCTTAAGAAACTGGAAAAAAGAGGTAATTTTGCGTGCAGTTTTGACAAGTTAAAAGCCATTATTTGAAATTTTTGAGATATTGGTTTGTTGCACAAAGAACTGCTCTTTTCGATAGTTTTATCGGATTTTAAATTGGATTTAACGTAAGTGAACTGCAGTCGCATAAACAGACATTCGATCTTAACAAATTTAAAAAAATAGATAACGTTGCGTGCAGTTTTGACAAGTTAAAAATTATTGTTTGCAATTTTTGAGAGATTATTTTACTGCACAAAGAACTGCTCTTTCCGATAATTTTATCGTATTTTAATTTGAATTTAAAATAGGTGAACTGCAGCCGCATAAAGAGACGTTCGATCTTAAGAAACTGGAAAAAATAGGTAATTTTACGTGCATTTTTGACAAGTTAAAAATTATTGTTTGCAATTTTTGAGAGATTATTTTACTGCACAAAGAACTGCTCTTTTCGATAGTTTTATCACATTTTAATTTAGGTTTGAAATAGGTGAACTGCAGTCGCGTTAAGAGACATTCGATCTTAAGAAACTCGATAAGAGAAGTAGCTTTGCGTGGAGTTTGGACATGCTAAAAACCATTATTTGAAATTTTTGAGAGATTGGTCTGCTGCACAAAGAACTGCTCTTTTCGATAAATCCATCTGATTTTAATTTGGATATAAAGTAAGTGAAATGCGGTCGTGTAAAGAGACATTCGAAATTAAGAAACTCAAAAAAAATTAGTAATTTTCCGTGCAGTTTTGACCACCTAAAAACTATTGCTTGATATGAAATTTTTGAGAAATTTGTTTGTAGCACCAAAAACTGCTCTTTTCGATAGTTTTATCGGATTTTAATTTGTATTTAAAATAGGTGTACTGCAGTCGCGTAGAGATGTTCGATCTTAAGAAATTCGAAAGAAGAGGTAACTTTGCGTGGAGTTTGAACATGTTAAAAACCCTTTTGGATGCGTTGGATACTGCTCTTTTTTGTATTTAACCCAAACCGATTTTAAATTGGGGTTAGGTGCACTGTTGCAATAGAAACTTAAGGTGCTGAGAAAAAAGGTAATTCTCGAATAGAGTATCGATAAGTTGAAAACCTTTATTTGGAATTTTTGAGACTTCTGTGTTGCATCGAAAATTGCTGATATTGGTAGTTCAATATAATTGTAAATTGGATTTGAAATATGCGAATAACAACATCGTAAATGCAAACTGCAATAGGCCCAAAACATTTAGTATGAAGTTTTGGGACATCCATTTGTTGCGTGAGAATTGTTGTGTTCACTATGTGTCTAACCCTTAAATAAATAACTAATTAATTAGGAAGAAGAACAACTCGTTCCCTTATTCATTTTCAATCCTTCACCATCTTTCTCGTTCATGGATTCAATCATTTTCAGAGTTGTGGTCAGGCGATGGAACTTGCATGAAGTAAAACCTTCACATAATTTCAAATTATGAGACGGGGGTGAAACTAGCTACAGGATTGGTTAAATTGTAAAATATTTGCCGAGAACCGTCGCAGATACCTTCTGAGTTGGGCTTTCGCGTCACCGGTGCGTCATGTTGTAGCCATCGCAAGATCCTGAATGCCTGATCCGCGTGGTTATTGTCAGTATGTTGCCAGTCTATCGCGGTGTGTAGTTGTAAGAGATTTTATTCGCAACTTTTGATTTAATTAACCGAATACTTTTTCTCGTAAGATTGGTTTCTTATACAATACGTACCTAACTAGCCGACATTTACTTTTCCCTCTTTAAGCTTAATAATACTTTTTGTGGTTTATTAATAAAAAAGTTTCGTTTCTAGGCGTTATATCCTGACCGGTTACTAAAACTCTGGAAGCCATCCGTTAAGAAGCACTGGTCTTTCACTCCAGATAATAGCAGGACCTGATGGATGGGCAAAAGTGCCTTTTTCTTTTTCACTTGTAATGCAAGCAGTACGCTGTTGCCATAGGAGGACCGAATGAAAAAGTGCCTGTAGGTAACGATTTTCATTAAAGATATTAGATGTGATGTTGAATTATCTTCCTTCGACATTTGTAACTTATCTTTTAGGAATGTCAACCATTGTGATAGTAGAAATCAATGATAACGTTGTTTTTTTTCAGTTTTCAACAATGAATATTATATTTTAACACTAGTATGAAAAACTTTAATTACAAAAATTTAATTTTTAAGCAAAGGAGACTTATAATTCTCGCTGTAACTCATCCATTGTGTATCCAATTGTAAGTTTTTGGCAAATGTAATTTTACTTTAGGTGCCTTTTCGTTTTATTTTATTTCTTGTGAATTTAATAGCGCAGTAATTCTATTTTTTTTGTGCATTTCCACAGATTGGTCGAAGAATAAAACAATTGTCTGCACTGATATCGTTATTCATGGACTTCGTTTGGTTTTTATTCGTCTTCAGTTAATCTTCGATCACGAGTAAAAGCATTTTCGATTCCACCGAAACAACACTGATCGTGAGCTACGTTTCTTCCTGCTCTGTTGGCTGATTCATCTTTGAAGCATACATTCTCCGCAATTACTTAAGGTGAGAATACATTAAAGTTAATTAAAAACTGCATTCTACCAATATTTTGCCATCATACCTGTTTCAAATCGAAGGTGGAGAAGACAAGGAGTTCTCGCAGTTAAAATAGTTCTTTATCTAGCATGTTCTAACCAACAGGAATTAATTTTTTATAATTCCGCTATATTCATATTTTTTGGTGGGTGTTTTGTTGTGTTTCAAATCGTATTTATATAGGAATATAATATCCTTAATTGATATATGTTTTTTTTCTGTTTCTGCAGATTATCCAACAAATGAGAGAGAATAAAGTTCAACTTGGTAGTGCTCACACAACCATTGTCTATATGGATATCGTCTTTCCTGGACTATATTCCTGATTTTCTGTTTTTATCGTCACCTTACAAGACGAGGAAAAGCAACTGGCCGTTCATTCCAGATAATGGCGGGACCTGATGGATGGGCAAAAGTGCCTTTTTCTCTTTCCACTGGTAGTGCAAGCAGTAATTGTTGCCAAAGAAGGACTTAATGAAAAAGTATCGGTAGGTAACAATTTTCATTAAAGGTAGTAGTTGTGATATTAAATTATCCTAGAAGCCTGAACTCCTTCGACATTTGTAACTTTAAAAATGTGATAGTAGAAATAAATGATATTAGTATTTATTTTCAGTTTTCATAAATGAACATTATAATTTGGCATTAGTATTAAAAACAGAAGAAAACTATTCAATTTTATCCAAAAGAGATGTATATTTCCATTTTTAAATTATAAGCTGGTTTAAATGTGTCTTTCGTAGCGTGTTTTTCTTGTATTTCATATCGTTTTTATATTGGAGTGTAATATCCTTAATTGATATATGTTTTTGTCCGTTTCTGCAGATTATCCAACAAATGAGAAAGAATAAAGTTCAACTTGGTGGTATTCACATGGATATCGTCTTTCCTGGACTATATTCTTGATTTCCTATTTTCATCGTCACCTTGCAACATTATACACGTAATTGTCAACCGACGAGGGAAAGCAACTGGAGATATTCCACTGAAACAACAAATTTTCGGCTATGTGGTAGTCCTCCTGGATTTTGTTTGCTTACAGTCTACAGTTAATTAAGGTGAGAATACTTGATATAATTAATTATAATTAATGGCACTTTATTAATCTGTTACCACCCTATCTGTTTCAGATCGACGATGGAGAAGACAAATAAGATGCGTAGTTAGTTCATTATCTTGCATGCTCTATCTAATAGAATTAATTCTTGAAGTTTATTTTATTCAAATTAATTGTTTATTTTGCATGTTTTCTGTAGTTTATTTTATTTCAATTAATTTTTATTTTGCATGCTTATTTTGTTTTATTTTATTTGAGTTAAATTTTGATTGTAGATGTTTTTATTTTTTTTTGTAGCAGTAGTACCTACTAACATGTTCTTTATTTTTTTTTAGTAGTGTAGTCTAACATGTCTCTTGCTTACCTCTTCGCTTAGCTTACTGCATATTCTTCCTAATTTGCTTCGCATTTACCCTACGTCTTCTACATGATTCAACGTTTCGTTATCGTGTTTGTTTCTTCTCACCCTTGTGGAATTAGGGAGGGCCTCCCCGAACGACTTCCCTTGGGCTTAGCTATTTAGTTGATCTTAAAAGTGTCTTATACACTTTTCGCGAGTCTACTCTAGCGTTACTTCCTTTCAGACGGGGTACAGTGGGTTATCTGGAATAGGAGCAATAGGCGACTGCCCAGCTTGCCTTGGCGAAATCTGTCCGATCTTCTCTACCAAAGCTATTAGTATTTGCCGTTAGTCCTGTTAATTGCACTATTTGCTTTCAGATAATGAGGTATTTCCTGAGAAGAATGAAGACATCGTATTTTTTGCTTTTTATTGTATTTTCTTTGAAATTTTATTTGTTTTTTGTGTTTCTCTTTCAGGTATTTTGCTTGTTTTCTTGTGTTTCTTTTACATTACAGGTACTTTGTTTTTTAATTTGTAAACTGTTGAATTACCTAATGTAATTGTATCTTAGTCTGATAGGTAACTTTTCTAAATTTCTCTATAAACTTTATATGTTTATGGTTGTAACTGAAATTAATTTTTAAAATGCTTCTAAACTGTTTTTTTGGCATAATTGTTAAAATTAAATATATCATTTGTTAGTCTTTCAAAATTAATATTCATTTGGGTGGATAGGGTGGCTATAAGGGGCGATGAGGAGGCCACAGAGAGTTAAGGAGCATTTCTATCCCAAACATAGTTTTTAAATATCAATTCAACAGTTTGTAAATTGTTAATAATTGTAATAAATAGAAACATGTATAGTATCTTGGATATGTTGTATATATTATATATTATGTAGTTATTTGAAATAAATATGTTGTAATAAATGCAAATGTGTAAATCATAAATAGATTATCATTGTATTAACATTATTTTGGGGTTTAAATAAATAAGTGATTGAATTACGTGTTTTAATTTCATGAATATTTAATGAAGGTCTCAGACTTGGACAAATATAGACTCTAAAAGACTAAAACTACGATAAGAAGTACAGAATTATATTAATTTTAATATTATTAGCGCCCTCGTACGGTGAGGGGCTGAACTATGTTCAGAATTAGAGAGAAAACTACTAAAGTTGATCCCGCGCGAAAAGTGTGAACTCAGAAAAAGATCTCATGCGACTTATGCTCTCCTGATACAAATGTTAAAATTTATGAAAATTTTCAGTTTCGCGACCTATACGAGGTCTGATCAATAAATATTTGAACGACCAAATTTTGTTGTCAAAGTAATTCTTGATCAGACCTCGTATAGGTCGCGAAGCTGAAAATTTTCATAAATTTGAACATTTGTATCAGGAGAGCATAAGTCGCATGAGGTCTTTTTCAAAATCCAATTTTTGGTTGTTCAAATATTTGTTGATCAGACCTCGTATAGGTCGCGAAACTGAAAATTTTCATAAATTTGAACATTTGTATCAGGAGAGCATAAGTCGCATGAGATCTTTTTTGGAGTCCACACTTTTAGCACCAGTTCAAGTTTAGCAGGTTTCTCTCATTTTCTCAGCATAGTTCAGCTTCTCGCCGTATGAGGGCGCCCTTATTTCCAAAATTATAATACCTTTTAAGATGTAAATTAAGATTATATTTTGGCTGCATGTGTGGAGCTCAGTACTAATTTTGGACCAATGAACATAATTATAGCAATTTTCAAGATGTTAATTATGACATATTTCTCAAGAAACGATTTTTTTCTAGTAAATTAAACACTGTTTATATTAAAACAAATTTATTTCGTATTNAAATTGGCTAGCATGCTACTAATATGTTAAAACGTGGAAATATAATGAAAATTCCGATTTCACTTTTCGACCCAATTACAATAACTTCCTAATGGGAAGTTAATAAAATAAATAAAATAAGCATGCAAAATAAAAATTAATTGAAATAAAATAAGCTACAAAAAACATTTAATTTGAATAAAATGAACTTCAAGAATTAATTCAATGAAATAAAGCATGCAAGATAGAGAACTACTCTAACTACGGATCTTCTTTGTCTTCTCCAGCGTCGATCTGAAACAGATAGGGTGGTAACAGATTAATAAAGAGTCATTAATTATAAATAATAATATTAAATATTCTCACCTTAGTCAACTGTAGGCTGTCAAGTTTGCAGGTGTAAAAAGCAAACAAAATCCAAGAGGAATACCATAGTAGAAAATTTGTTGCTTCAGTGAAGTTCAAATAAATCTCCCGTTGTTCTCACTCCTCGGTTGAAGACTAACTGCATAATGTTGCACGATGAAGATGAAGAAGAATGTGGTCTAGGAAATAGAATATCCATGTAGACAGTGGTTGTTTGAGTACGTCCAAACTGAACTTCATTCTTTCTCATTTGTTGGAAATCTACAGAAATGGACGAAAAAAATATATTAATTAAGGATCCTATATATGAAATACAATAAAAAACAGCTAATATAGCGGAATTATAAAATAGCAAAATAGCGTCTCTTTACATTATAACATAAAAATCATGAAATGATCACAGATGCACCAATTTATACAGAAGACAATAGATATTTGTTAACAAAATATCATAGATGCTTGATAATAATTTCCTGCTGTAGACAATAGATAATTGTTGGAAGAGATACACAACATTAATATTTTTAATTAACTTTAATGTATTCTCACCTTAAGTAACTGCGGAGAATGTACGTTCCAAATGTAGATAAATCAGCCAACAGAGCAGGAGGGAACATAGCACATTGTTGATTCAGTGGAATTCAAATAAATCTCCAGTTGCTCTTACTCAGCGGTTGAAAACCAACTGCATAATGTTGCAAGATGAAAACAGCAAATCAAAAATGTAGTCCAGGAAATGCAGTTCCCATGTAGACAGTGGTTGTTGGAGTACGACCAAACTGAACTTTATACTCTCTCATTTGTCAGAAATCTACAGAAATGGACAAAAAATATATTAATAAGGGTTTAATTAAGCTCCTATATACGAAATATAATAAAAAACAACTAAAATAGAGGAATTATACAATGGCGAAATAGCGTCTCATTACATCATAACATAAAAATCGTCAAATGATCACAGATGCACCAATTTATACAGTAGACAATAGATATTTGTTAACAAAATATCATAGATGCTTGATAATAACTTCCTGCTGTACACAATAGATAATTGTTGGAAGAAATACAAAACATTAATATTTTTAATTAAATTTAATGAATTCTCACCTTATGTAACTGCTGGGAATGTATGTTCCAAACTCCAAAGGTAAATGAATCAGCCAACAGGGCGGGAAGGAACATAGCAATCACTCGTGGTCGAAAATTCACTTTTTGATAAATTCCTTTTTCGGCCATTTGAAAAAGAAAAAGGCCCTTTTGCCCTTCTAACAGGTACTGATATAATTTGGAGTGAAAGACCAGTGCTTCCTAGCAGATAGCATCCAGAGTTTTAAAAACGTTGCTGTAAAATGAAATCGTATCAGATTTTTAAAAAAATAATTTATTCAACATGTCTGGAACAAAACGAAAATAACAGTATCCTAAAATATTACCAAATAGATTTATTGCTGATTAATATCAACCGAATTGTGATTTGTATTCTCATCTCAACTTACTGCAAAAACGTCCAGGATGAAAAGTCAGCCACTCAGCATTTAGGAAAGTCCAACAAAAACGGCACACCCTGGTAGTAGACGATTACTGATTTCAGTAACACCAAACTAACTTGAAGGTTCTTTTTTCTATCATTTACGGGTAATCTGCAGAAAAAAAAAATTAATTAACACTATTAAATAAATAAAACAGGGAATAAAATAGAAACATTTGTGAAAGGAAGTAATTGAAAGTGATGTTCGTAACCAGTCAGAATATTACACTTAGAAACAAAACTTTTTAATTAAAAAAATAACAAAAATTATTATTTACCATAATTACTAAAAACAAAGAATAGCAAACATAGATCAGTTAGGTACGTACTGTATAATAGATAAAAATAACTCGGTAAATTAAGTGGGAAATATGCGAACAAAATCTCTCGCAACTACACACTACGATAGACAGGCAACATACTGGCAGTAACCAAGCCGATCAGGCTTGCAGGAATTTGCGATTGCTACAGCATGAAGCACCTATGACGCGGAAACCGCCACGCAGAAGCATCAAATGAGCTATTTGCGACGGTTCGCGGCAAACTTTTTGTAATTTAACCAATCGTGTAGCTAGTTTCTGCCCCGCTTCATAAATTCAAATAATTTGAATGTTTTGCTTCGTGAGAGTTCCATCGCCTGATCACAACTCTGAATATAATCAGTTAGAAGAGTGGGAGAGATGACGAAAGATTAGAAAGGAAAGCATGAGAGATAATGAAGGTTTTTGTTCTTACAATCTGAATTACATATGCTCTGAAATAATAATTCATGAGACAAATACTGCCTTTGAAATGAGGAAAAAAATATAAAATTTAATAATAACTATTTTCAGTTTATATATGCTTAGGGTTTCGCTCTAGTTATGATGCAATACAAAATTATTCATAGAGGTTCCTTGTACAACGTTAGGGTGCAATAGAGAAGGAATTTTTCAACATTAAGTCCCTAAAAGGGTGAAAGTATATAGGTTCACAGTTTGTGGTTTACTTCCAACTTTGCATTTCATTTTAGAAATCATATGACTTAAAATGTGTTCTTTAGTTATCAATTGACCTACATTAGAAGGGGTGAAATTGGATTTGAAAGTTAGCTTATTTAACAAACTAATAAACACCTAATCGAAATTACTGAAATTAGAAAAATAAAATTTAGTCAGTAGATTCACTTTTAGGCGTACCATAACTCTATGAAAATTTTACTGGAATTTCATCCCCTAAGCAGATTAAATCTGTAGAATTGTTGTATGAAACCTTGAAATCTGCGAAGTTATTAGATATGAATAAACGTGTTGTATGGCTTTTTCAAAATGAATCATATGACGTGAAAAAGGGGATGTAGTCCCATGGTTTTTAGGATAAAGACATAAAATTTGGTAGTTAGGTTCTTGTTTAACAATAATGTAAGGAAAAAGGTGATTTTGCAGTTAAGGGAGTGAAAGTAAGGTCAAAATGTTTAATCTATAAAATTTTCGCTGATACCGCATACTCGAGCTAGCCAAAAAGCTTCGAGTAGCAAAGTTAGTGTACGTTCCATCGGAATTACACCAATAAATTCGGTTCGGGATATTTTTTTTTTTAATTTTGTCCAATGCAGAAGTGCTTTGTTGTGCGATAAATGTTTATGAGGATGGTATATTTAAAAGCTGTCTCAAATATTTTGATAACTTTTATTATTGCAAAAATCAGAAGAGAAGTAAAATTTTCTATGAACCCTTGTAGTTAGTATATTGCCAATTTTGATCGTCCTAACTATACATAGATTTGTTACCATTAAACTTTCGTGGGGTGCGTGTACAAAAACTCTTCAAAGTTTCCTAGCAATTGGATGAATGATAAAGGGAGTAGGTACATACCTATATGGTGTAGGGTTGTTAAAAATATGAATTAATTGTTTATTAAAATTTTATTGCTTCATAATATCAGCACACTTATAACTGTTAGGTAAATACTTCTTATAACAATAAATACAACAGCTGGTGTTATTAATTGGCAACAATGTGAAGGTAATAAAATGTAGATAGGTATCTAAACATCGATGTATCGTATGATAAGAATTATTCAAAAATCACTCAATTCTACTACCTTTCGTGCTTTATTGTGCCTATTAAGATAACAACAATCCTGAAACAATCAGAGTCATAATAAGCCCATTATTTTCCACTGGTACCACCAACATAACAAGTTTAAACCAAAAAGCTTTTCGTTATTATTGTTCTTTCGAATAACTTTTGGCATGATCGAATCGCAATATGAACGTTNCGAAATAAATTTGTTTTAATATAAACAGTGTTTAATTTACTAGAAAAAAATCGTTTCTTGAGAAATATGTCATAATTAACATCTTGAAAATTGCTATAATTATGTTCATTGGTCCAAAATTAGTACTGAGCTCCACACATGCAGCCAAAATATAATCTTAATTTACATCTTAAAAGGTATTATAATTTTGGAAATAAGGGCGCCCTCATACGGCGAGAAGCTGAACTATGCTGAGAAAATGAGAGAAACCTGCTAAACTTGAACTGGTGCTAAAAGTGTGGACTCCAAAAAAGATCTCATGCGACTTATGCTCTCCTGATACAAATGTTCAAATTTATGAAAATTTTCAGTTTCGCGACCTATACGAGGTCTGATCAACAAATATTTGAACAACCAAAAATTGGATTTTGAAAAAGACCTCATGCGACTTATGCTCTCCTGATACAAATGTTCAAATTTATGAAAATTTTCAGTTTCGCGACCTATACGAGGTCTGATCAACAAATATTTGAACAACCAAAAATTGGATTTTGAAAAAGACCTCATGCGACTTATGCTCTCCTGATACAAATGTTCAAATTTATGAAAATTTTCAGTTTCGCGACCTATACGAGGTCTGATCAACAAATATT